CAATTGCACAATTTCTGGTCCATTTTGGGGCGACGGTTTTATACTCGCTACTCGATATCGAAGTTGGGGTAGGTGTGTCACCGGAAGTGACGTGCACTTGATAGAAACTATGTGGATAAGCTGCTTCCAACATACATCGCTGGATATCAGCAAAGCATGCTGGCAACAGCTTATCCACGCAACTTCTATCAAGTGCACGTCACTTCCGGTGACACACCTACCCCAACTTTCGGATATCGACTGTACACGTTTATTTGGGCGGGTTGACCTAATGATTTATTCTGGTCAGACTCTTACCGCTGACAGCTCCCCATCTTAGCGAGTGAGTAACTAGGCTGGATAGCTTAGCAATTTTTGCCTCTTCTTCATCTTGTTCCGTGCTGTAGCCATTCCTTAAAGGGGGAAACGGGATTGGACTGCACAATTTTGTGAGAGTATACATATTCCCATACTCATGTAACTCCTTCTTGAGGGTTGCCTGACATTCCACAGGGATTTCAGCGAACGTCATTTTTCCATTCATATTGTAGCGACGACGTTCCTGAAGAAGCGGTTTTCGGTCGTGATGAACCTGACTATCTTCTGGTATCTGTCTTTGATCCCACCCAGGAAAAAGTGATGTAATCAGTCAGCATTTTTTGAAAAACAAAGCTCACTAAGAACAAGTTCTCCTGTGTTCTTCTGAAGAAATTGACAAGAATTCCTAGTAATTTTACTGACTAATACCCAGACATGTGCTGGGGTGAAATTGGAACTCGTAAACGTCTTCGATGAAATTGATAACAATTTTGGCAACAATACTAGCGAGCCCGTAAAGCTCAGAATTTGCTCACGACTTCCTTGACAAGCTCATTTTGCAATATTAGTTTCAATATTTGTAATCAGTGCTTGAACCTCTATCGATGTATCTAGGCCTTGTTTCAAATTCAATTCCAAAAAATTCAAGTTTTTTTCTTGTTTTGTTTCAGCTCCATAGGAACCTGAATGCTTCCCCGGTTACTAGTTGTTCACTTCGATTTTCAACTCACAATGTTGCTAATCTTAGTGGTGAGCATTTCCAGGAGACACGTGGCAAAGAATTCCATCTCTACCGTGTTAACCTTGACGAACCAGTCCGCATCACCCCTTTCTTCTCGAACTTTCCAGCAGCAGAATGGTGTCCGTTCCAATGGTAGTGGCGACTTCTCTGCAAAACCGAATTGAGAACCAGCTGCAAAGTTGTACGAGTAATTGATGTGGCGGACCTTTAGCTTTTGCCTTTCTTCGGCAGTGGATGAAACTAATGCTTCGAAATTGCTCGGCTTTCAACGTCATTACCCACTTATAGCTAAAATGTTCAACATTCTCCCGAGAATCTCGCTAACTTTTGACATGCAAGCACTCACGGCCTTGTCAAGGTCTTTAAAAGGCTTTTCCAAACAGCCTTCCCAATAAAAGTGTTCTTTCCTAACGTTCGAATTTTCTTGGCAACCTGAATTTAAAGCGCACTTGCTAATGATATGATCAAAGGTAGGGTACCTAGGAGTACTCACTTACTCCCTAGCTTTTGAAGATTCATCTGGAGAGACCGAGTCAAGTGTGGGATGGGTGTACATATCTCAAGAAGTACAAAACATACATCAGCTAAGCGGAGCCCCGCCCACAGTGGGCGTGGCGTGCATCGAAATGAGTGGTACTGAGGACCATGATTTCAAATTCAGTCACAAAACAGCCTCGAGACCGGGAAAAAAGTGGGTTGGTAAGCCAGATCGAACTGAGGAGACCCACCCTCGGTGGGCGGGGCGTTCTCTAGAAAAAGCGGTGCTCAGTGAAAATATTCATAACTCGGTTAAGAGAAAGCCTACAGAGCAGAAAAGAAATTAGTGCAGGGGAGCAATGCTCTAAGGTATTTCCAGCATACATGACGTGAGCGGAGGCCCGCCCACAATGGATGCAGCGGTCCTAAACTGGGCAGAGTTCCCCAAAACTCCTTCATAATTCGGTTTCTTACCAGTAATGGATAATCCTTTGAAAATCTGAATGTGCGTAACTGGGCGATTTGAATTCTTCGTGAAGGTGTTTCAAAAAATCCAGATTGCTGTTATAGGCCATTCCGTGGTCGAATACCGTGATCCCACTACGAAAAGTTTGACACCATCGTTAGTGTACGTGGGTGCAGGGGTGATGGAGATGCAGACATCGAATTCATGTACATTTTTTATGAACGATAAGCTATTGCCACTCTTTGCACCAGCTCACTATCAAATCAATGACTTCTTGCAGCTTCGAAGAATCACTCGAGTGTTAACAGGTTGATAAATTTTCATGTCGTCTGCGTACAAGAAGTTGGAATGGCGCGTACCCCCCAGGAGGCCCATCGCGCAGCAAGAAGGCCGAGTCGGCGGACGAGTCGCAGCGCGTGATGTGCGATGAAGGACTGGGATATCGGAATTATCCACGTAATTTGACGCGACTGCCCTAATACTTGCGGCCAACAACTGTCGTGAATCGGCATTCTTGGCTGCCACGGCCATCCTGGGGGAGGGGGTACCTGGATGGAAAGGAAAATGGTTGATTTATGCTAACCGGGAACGTCGTGCCCCTCAAAAAACTGGAAAACCATTCCACAACACAGGATGAAATCTGAGAGAAAATCTTATAAATCACCTTTTTGTGTGAGTCTCTTTCGAACGCTTTCGCGAACAAAGTACAATTCGAACAAAGTACAATAAATGATGACGACCCTTATTACTCGGTGTTTCGGCCACCTTAGGTCACTCAATCAGATTTGTTTCAACGGATTTACCGGGAACAAAACCATGTCGTTATTGTGTTCTATAGTATCATAGTTAAGAGACGAGTCCAAGTTATATCCGGGAATTTTTAATGTCGTTGCGGAAGGCTTCAGAGAGCACCAATGTGAATCAAACTGAAGTCAACCTTAGTATAACTGAAGCCCGTACCCAGGCTTCGTGTCAAGAACGCATGCTAAAAAATTAGAAGTGGTACTGCCTGGGAGCTCCTGATTGAGTATCCTTACATATCGCAATTGATTTTTCGCCTTCTCGTTAAGATTGGATCACTAACCATCACGGTTGCATCCCTGAGCAAAATCACATAGATCTCTCTGTTATCTTTGATACTGATCTTATTCGAAGCGCACACGAGCCGTCCTTTCACAGTTCTTATTACCATATTAGTGGCTCCAACGAGGCTCGCCTAATTAAATAAAATTTGGTTTAAGATGATCTTCATTGATCTCATACTGAATATCTTACCGGTATTTCCTCAATTTCAGCCATCAAAGCAAGGGTTGGCATGTACTTGTCACTATTTAGTCTCACAGTATTAGATTGGCTGGAATCACCAGGATTTACAACAATAGTGAACACTTTCACAAACGAAAAATCTTATATCCTAAAGTTGACTCGAAAAATCTATAAATCAAATAATGCCCTTCGACATAACTTCTTCTGATGACTGAACTGCAGTTCATTATTTTCCCTGTTTTTGTTTTTTGAGTTTTCCCTTCGAAATTGAGCACAGAGAAGGCAGAGAAGGATGTGATTTCTTAAAAGGAGCAATTACGAGCGCAACGGGGTTGCGTATGCGCCACACAAGCGGAGTGGCTGCTAAGAAAGTGAAGTTCCATGACAAAAAATGCGCTGGTTGCCGAGCAGCACTTGAAAAGCGCTCCGCTCAAAAGCGATCCGCCCACTAGTTTAGTTGGTGATTTGGACGAGCTGCGTTGCCAGCAGCGGCACAACTGGAGCAACTCGACTGGAGCATGGTTTGGCATGCTGCCACCAAACGCGTTGCGAAAAACTCGTCCATACGTCCGCTGCCTAAGCCATTGCCTTTTCATGAGCGAAAGTCAAACCAAAGGAAGGAAATCCTGTGCCTTTTTAACACGGACTTCTTCGCTCTTTCCTAAGGTGCTCAATAATATCAAAGAAATCCTCAAAATCAGGGGTGGAATATAGGGCCTTCTATGTCTCATCTGCTTTATTCCTTACACTTCTCACTTCTGCCTTCATATTCCAGCAGCATCAAGTTATCGTAACAGCTGCCTTCAGAGGCACTTTCGAAGAAATTTCAGCTGAGATATGGGGTGGAAAATGAAGATTGAACACCGCCAGCAATAAAAAAGGAAAAGCAAATGGAAATACCAGAACTAAACACTCCTCCTTGGAGTGCAAGCACAAACAGACTGCAGTTGGTGCTCATGCCAGCTCGCGATGTGAACCCAAACTGGCGACCCTTTCGCCACTGCCAAGCGCTTTTGAGCCGAGAAGTGGCAGCATCCATACAGCTACCAATATAAGTGATAAGTTTTGAGTCTACCATTCCTCACATCCGATGCTTGAATATATACAGGGTGGGCAAAAATTACGGTAACAAAGGAAAACGGCAATAAAAAAGTAATGTGGTCGAGACTGACAGCATGTTGGTGTGAATTATTAAACAGAAGGCAATATTGCCCTTTGAAGTGACGGCTTTCTGCGTTGAGAAATAAACGAAGATTCCCTACTAAGTCACTTACCCTGTTGTGTAGGTCGGTGTGGTAAAGTATGTCCAAGGCTTTCAGGAGCGACTGCTCGAACAGTCGATGCTCCTATTATGCTTATAGCAAAGCTTCGTAATCGTCTGCCACACTCAATAACACGACATTGGGGTAGGACTTACGTTGGGAAGCTATGTTTTTTATGGAATGCTTCCCCAGTATGATGATTTCCAAGACAATCGGGTTGCGTCGATTTTTGGGCAATTTCTGCATTGCGAATGGGCGCCCAATATTGCTTTTGATGCCCTGTGTTTCCCATTGAAGGTCCTTACGGTATTCGAAATGATTTTTACTATCCAGTTTTTTTTATCTTGAGCAGCAGGGGTCCGATTTTCTGCGAAAAGCCATCACTGAGTGGCTGAATGGCATTTCACTAGCATTGGTCCAGTTGCCCTTTTATTCCAGAGTGGCCAGACAGCAGACCATCTTCCCACTAAGGGAAGCGATCGATAAATAAAGCTCATGACGGAATCCGTACAGTGACTTGTAGCATCTTTGCTTTCTATTCAATTTTCCCGAATCGGTTGTATGTTAAGCATTTTCATGATTGTAATCCTTTTTGTTAAGACGTGTGTGAACAAATCGTTGCAAGGAAGTGCGCTAGATAGCAGTTTCAGCGACAAAACGACGGAATGAACCAGCTAGCTTCCAAGCGCTTGTTCGCACGTATCTTCGAGATATTACTCGTGAAGTCGCAGAAATCTCAGTCGTCAATCCTCTGAGGTTTAGGCCTATTGGCGCTGGTAACCAGCCTATTGAACTTCGTAATGTGGCCGATGAAGGTTTCAAAGAGCATTCTGAATCCTCATGCAGTGCAACACAATCAAACAGTTCGCCGGAGCTAAGTACTGATTGTTTCTCAAGGAGTTAAAACACTGTTCATGTCCGCGAGTGGAATTATTAGGTTGGAAAGAAAGTTCTGCAACACTCTTTCCAAAATTTTCTTTTTTCTGAAAAATTCATAGGTAACATTTATGACTACCAAATGATAGAGCATTCTCAAGGCTTCAATCCACGAGGTGGATATAAGTTCTGCAGTCAGTAGTTATCCAAGAAAATTCAAAAAATCTCGACCACTAGCAAATCCGTACTCCGAGTCACTGTCTAGTACAAATGTCTACAAAACCATGGATTCGTGTCAACGACTGACACTATCTGCAATAGCTTCTAATGGCATGCCGTTCAGCGATACAGCGTGTTTCACCTTTACCAGCGCTTCCGATCTTTTGATATTTTTATAAGAAGCCAGCAGCATCCCTCACACTCCATTACAGGTAGGGCTCTTACAGAAGCTCCACTACATACCCTTCGTTATGGGCACCATTGTGTAGGCAGTGGCCTAGGTTGTGGAAGTACCAGAAGCTGGCCGAGGTAGCTCGTCAAGAGCCCTCGTACCGCGACAATATTCATTTCTTTCATGACATTGCGAATCACCATGATCCGAAATGAGCCCGGTAAGAAATTCTGGAGTTGCGGCAAGATTTCTTTCCTCTCTTAGCGTAATCCCCTGGTCGAGCTGTAAATAAGTGCTACCTATCCTGGACCTTTAATCATCATCTTTATAACGAAATAATCAGACGATCAACTCCAACTCGAAAGTGAGGTCGCCTCCTTTCTCGACTCGCACTCCGCTGGGTTTTGGCGGAGGAGGATCAAGAAATTTTCTGAGCGATGGAGACAAGTGGTGGACACTCATGGTAGATATAAGACCGGTCAGGAGTTGTAACCAAAAAAGATAAAATTAAAATCAAAAATTTGAAAAAGTGTTGCAGGACTTTCTTTCCAACCTAATATTTTATGCTAAGACGTTAAGAAGCGAACACTAGAGCTATCAAAACATATGAAAGGGCATACTATCAGCAATCTGGTGATTTAAAATTGGAAATTAACAGCAGCAACCACTTCATATTTACCAGTTTTGCTTCGCCCGCTATCGCGCGCATCACACGGCAGGCTTTAGCGAAATTGGAGGACCCATGGAATATCAGCATGAGATACTCCATTAACCATCTCACTATTGACTGTGTTAGACCCTCCACAGTTTCACTGAAGCTCATCGAGAATACGCGTGATAACGTCTGAGCTGAACTGGTATATTGATCACAACTCTGTAAACATCCAGCATTTTTCTTGAATTAAGATAATTTAGCGGTGAATAGGATTGCTGTCAGTCTCAAAATTAAAACGAAATATGCCTATTTACATAAGTGAGGAGCTAAGGCTTATCATTTATTTACATTCACCATTATTTAGAACCCCGAAAGGATTAGCGGTTTAATGAGTCTGGGCTTTCGTGATAGAAATGAAACTTATCATTTGCTGAAGACTTGATTGAATTTATGCAATCGACTGCTATTAAGTAAGCTGGATATATATCGAAATAATGTGCACGTACCTTTTTTGTACTACTACGACTTACTACAATTTGTAAGTAGGAACGCTCTAGTGTCAACGCTGCGTAACGGAATTGACGACTTTTGCGTTCTGGCGCGCCTTATCGGCCCTTATCAATCGTTATCAGTTTCTGGCACCCACCAACAATGTCCCCGTCCCACCCCACATAACACTTGTAAGTATGGTTGCTCTGGTGTCAACGCGAGCCAGGCAACGGAATCGACGACTTCAGCGTTCTGGCGCGCCTTATCGGCCCTTATCAATCGTTATCAGTTTCTGGCACCCACCAACAATGTCCCCGTCCCACCCCACATAACACTTGTAAGTATGGTTGCTCTGGTGTCAACGCGAGCCAGGCAACGGAATCGACGACTTCAGCGTTCTGGCGCGCCTTATCGGCCCTTATCAATCGTTATCAGTTTCTGGCACCCACCAACAATGTCCCCGTCCCACCCCACATAACACTTGTAAGTATGGTTGCTCTGGTGTCAACGCGAGCCAGGCAACGGAATCGACGACTTTTGCGTTCTAGCGCATCTTATCAGCCATTATCAGTTGCTATCGCTTCCAATCATGTACCACCAATGTCCCGGGACCGCCCCACATAAGACTTGTAAGTATAGACGCTCTTTTACCAATATGAACGGCAAAACGAAATTGGCGATGCTCGCTTTCTAGCCCCTCTTATCAGCTATTATCAGTCGTTATCAGTTCCTATCACGTACCACTTGTGTCCCCATCCCACCCCCTATAACATATGTAAGAACCACTGCGCTATCGTTACTGTGACTCGAGCTATGAATTTCCGGTCAAACACACACACACACACACACCAACAGACACACGCTAGCCGCTTATATATAGTAGGATATTTTCCCACCTTTAGAATTTGAAGGTATGCTCACCAGCCACGTCTCCAACCTTATCAATCGCTTTTTGAATTGCGGCACTTTGCCCTCCTTTGGACTTTTTTTGCAACTCTGAAACTCTTCTTTTTTAAGAACATCTGTTTATTACGAATTTAAAAGTTAGATTATAGTTAATCGTGCTTACTCTCGAGAAGGAGCTTGACTCCTGCGAAGTCTGTGCCCACATGGGATCATCAATGATGTCATACTCGTTGACGACGAAATTCGGGCTGCTTTTCTAGAGAGCCTTTAAAGCCAATTATTAATAGCCTATCAACCAATACAGAAAGCGATTATAAATGGAAATTTGGCTTACAGCATCGATCAACAAGCACGCTTAGAAAAGCTAGAGCTACTAAAGGCTCGAGCCTGAGCCTTACGATGTTCGGATCTCACTTGACTTCTTAAGGAAATTTCTGCAGATAGGATATCGCTGACCTCAATGAAGGATTTCAATTTTGGATTTTTCTCACACGCTATCGCAATAATTCGTATACGCTGGGTAGATTCGAATAAGCTCATATGAAAAGTTTTTCCAAATCTGGAAAGAGAACTTCAAGAAGAGAAAGAAGAGAACGGAAGAGCGCAGGTTCTGAATCCTATTCAGTAACAGACTTTTTTCTCTTGTTTGGCCATGAACACCCAAGGAAGAAAAACAAAGTCTGCATTCGGTGTTTGTGCCGGTGGAAGTCATCACCCCCGGATATCGGCATACCATTTGGTGTGCTTCCATGCTAGCTCAAGCGTTCCATCGTTAACCATACGTGTTTGTTTGTTATGTTAAAGTGCTTCGACATATAGCTTGTCAAAACCCCTTGCCCATACATAATATTACTGAAGGTGAGGTGGTAGTTTCAGAAATGTTTAAAAATGCAAGTCATTTAGTTCCATTAGGAAGGAAACACTGTACCCTATCACATTGGGTGCATGGCAAGTGGAACCACTCACCTCGGCAATTTTATGACATTTCCTATCAAAATTCTCCATTAAGTCCTCGAGTTTTGCGACAATTTTCTCATGAACATCTACTATCGGCTTAATTTTTCCAAATATTTGCTTAACTGTTGCCTCCTCCATTAATGGTTTATTTTTAGAGACGCGTTCCAGTAAAGCGTCTTTTACCTGAACTCTCGAAGACTTTAACATTGATTTCGAATACTTTGAATTGAAGACACGTTTGATTGAATTACTCACTTTGAGTAATAGTTTGAGGTTAGCAATATAATGTTTCTCGGTGGAGCATATTTCCTGACAAATATTAAACTTCTCATCAGTGGCACCAGGAGCAAGCATTGTTTCAGCGATTGAATCTGCAGCCAACCCACAATCTCTGATTGGACCAAACCTCCCAATGCATGAGGTCACTTACTTACCGCATGCGGTAAGATACACATCTTCTACTATACGAGTCTCTTCGAGTTCGTCGATGCAAGTCGCTTCAAGCAAGGAGGGAGCACCGATCCACGGATTTACCATCGCGGTGTACATCGTGGTTCGCTGAATAGTTTGTCATCAACATTTAATAATCCTTACAACATCTCAAAGCGCCAAGGCAGTCTTTCTGTATGTGTCTGCGTGTGTTTTTATCTTATTTTTGTGTGTATTTTCACCATTTTTTGCACACATCGCGGTGGCGATGGAGCGTTGATTCTTATGAGTGGTGCAAGGTGTCAGACAAGGGCAGTTGGTGAGTGGTACAAAGTGGGAGCCACTGATAGGGGCCGAGGAGGGTCAGAACGGATCGCCAACGAAATTTCGGACCCTTGCTACGATGGAACGATGGTTCTTCATGTTGTAGTGTGTTGGAGGGATGCACAGTTGGTAGGAAAATTGTGACAGCAATCGACAAGAGGTGATAAGTGGCGTGTTCGACTATGAATTTTCTGGTTTCGTCGCGGTGGGACGGTGAACGTTAGATCTTACAAGTAATGCGGGGGGAGAGGGGTGGAAACCGGACGGGGACATGGTGGAAGGTTATTACGATGGCTACGTACTGACAGTTGGCGTCATAATATGAACCAATCTAATTTCGCGTCGCTGCGGTCATAATGCAGCTTTAACAATGCCGGGTGGCAACATGTTGATGATAGTGTCAGAAAAGGTGATGAATGATGAGGTCATTCTCCTAAGCTAAGCTTCTAGGGGCTCATTGAAGACCCACTTTTCATTCCTCCGCTACCGAAAGAAGTACTGATAAATTCCTCCCCCAACTACTAGGTTTGCACATCTTTTCTGAGACACTTAACATGCATTGCTGTCGAATCTCTTTAACACGTTGACGACAGGCTGACGCGCATGCGCGTCAGAAATTTGCACCGCATCGGACATTCTGACGCGCATGCGCGTCAGAACTATGTCATTCATTTTTATTGTGCTTGCGCTCCTTCTTCTCGAGTTTTTTGCATTCATTCTATAGATAATACATTAGCATAACTATAAACCACATGGCAGCCAGAGTGGTCAAATATCCCTTGATTTAGCAAAGATTTTCTGAACGCACAAAACTTTCATTTCAATTCTTTCCTAGTATTCCTTTCACTGTCGTAAACATTCATATGAAATTCGTAACGTTATAAATCGTATAACTTGTAGCAAACAGTTAATACAGAACTTTGATTTTCAAGATATGATGTATTCTGATAGGAAGAGACTTGCTCTGTGAAATGCTTTCTAGTTCCACTTTTATTTCGCCAACGACACAGTGATTGTTTTTTTTGCTTTCGATCACGTGCATTATATGCGTACTTGCTATAGCATAAAACTCTAACTGTCATTTATACAGTTTTAGCTTTTACTGACCATCAATTGTGCTTTATTACCTGGTGGAAATTATTATTGGTATATTCAATTTTTTTGACTGGTAAACAAGAATAAGCACATTGGAGGGGCGGGAAAGTGCGCTCGTGGGGCTCGCAATCAAATGATTCGTTGTACACCACGCGCGGGTGCCAAAATGTCAAAAACACGGCAGATGTCGGTCAACGTGTTAAAAGTATCTGAAGTTTTAAGCTTATGACATAGTAAGTCTCTTGCTCGCCCACTTTATCCGCCAGAAGCGCATCACACGGCAGGCTTTAGTGAAACTGAAAGACCCATGGAATATCAGCATGAGGTCCTCCATTAGCCACCTCACTATTGAATGTGTTAGACCTTTCCCAGTTTCGCTGAAGTCCATCGAGAATACGCGTGATAACGTCTGGAGCTGAACTGGCATAATTATCTCACAACTGTAAACATCCAGCATTCTTCTTGAATTCAGATAATTTAGCGGTGAATAGGATTGCTGTCAGTCTCAAAATTAAAATGAACTATGCCTATTTACAGTCGATATCTTGAAGTCTGATTGGGCGTGTCACCGGAAATGACGTGGCAGCCACCGCACTTGATAGATGTTGTGAGGATAAAATACTCCGCCAAATATCAGCAAAGCGTGTTGGAAGCAGCTTATCCGCGCAACTTCTATCAAGTGCGCTGTACGAAGCCACGTTCATTTCCGGTGACACACACCATTCACAATTCGAAGATTTTCGACGAAAATCAAGAAGGACTGGAAGAAAATCAAAACGAAAGGAATAGGAAAGAAAAGGAAACTAACTGAAGAATACACTGGCGCCTGAAGCAGTAAATGCTAAAACATCGCTCGAATTTGTCGCGTGATTTCCGGCCTACGGCAATCGCTTTCCAGGCAGGCGCCACATGTACGACGTCCCCCGAGAGAGCTACCGAAACCTTTCTTCGACTGCATAATCTTGACGCCTTCCACTTTAAAGAGATTTCCTCCACCTCTTCTCCATTTCCTCCTCTCCCCTCTCCACTGCTCTACACTGCCAGTGTTGCACAGTGTGACAAGAGAGTGCTGAGTAGGTGTTTATATAGCACACTGTGCTGTTGCCTGTATCACAACGATGCCATTGCAAAACAGTGATAGGGCAAGCCCTGCGAGCTACCCAGATTTGTTAGCGGCCTGTTTACTCCATTGGCCGCCTTATCACTCACTTCATTTTGCGGACGGACAGACAGACGTGCATACACACAAACAAACCGACACACCAAACTTCTGGTTTATATAATGAAGTGATGTATGTGTTACCTTATGGATCAGCACGCAAGTTAATCTGTCCAAAATGCTAGCCACCTCATTTGCTTGCCGTATTCATTAGCTAGGATTCCAATTTCTTCGGAATCGTTCTTCATTACCGTAATCAGGATGTTCTACGCGCCAGGTTACATAAAGGAACAAACAGAAGATGTATGAAAGCGCACTTCCCAATCTACGGTGCACCGTTGGATTCTTCTACTCGGGGATGGCTTTTTTATTTGAAGATGATCCACACTCAACCACTCAGTGACTGGCAATCTCGATGCTCTACTTGACGCCTCTGCCAGAGGACACTAGACATCTAGTACGTAGTTTTTGCTGGAGCACTTCTGATGTTACAAGAAAGGAGTACTGAGACATCTCGATGGAGTAGTGAATGTGTGAAAAGAAGGAGTTTCTATCTCACATGCTGTGAACTGAATCAGCTCAAGCACAATCTGACACCATTATGTTCCAGTTGATTACCCATAGATCTTTGCAATGACATCCAGCATATTCACCGGTCTCGTGCACTTGGTGCAGCTTTACAACAAATTAGCAAGCGGCAGTAGCCCAGCTTAATTGATTTTAATAGCAAAAACCAGACCTGCTCTAAATTCGAACCTTCTGTTGCGTTGACAGAATGCGAGAGTTCCCGTTGGGACCCAACTTCCAATGAGCCTTGCGTTCAATTCAACAGCAAAGCAAGACAGACTTATTTGAAAGGTCCTTCAACTCCACCTTGCGGCAAATATTCACGGAAAAAAAGTTGGAGCTTTGCGCCAACAATTTTTCCGGCTCCACTGTGTGGCCCTAACCTCGCTTGAACGGAGGAGCATCGCCTTCCTTCTCTGGTTCACATTATGGAGAAGAAATCTTACTTTCATCACCATGATGTCAGAGTAGACACCCAGTTTTCTCCGACCAGAACCTAGTGAAAGAAAGGCACTGAACATCTACCCTTTCACTATAGATGTGTTGCTAATTATGGTGGTGTATGCGTAGTTATTCAGATAAGCATATCAGGAACGAAAAAGGAATAAAATCGTGAAAGGCCAATTCGCTCTAGAAATTTATGTTCTCTCCTATTATTGGACTTCCGGTCAATGGTGAATGCTCATCAAAGATGTATCAGGTGCTCAGCTAGTGAGCACATTTCATTTCCATTGCAATGTTGTTAGCCACAAAACCTATTCATCCATTAAAGCCCCGAATTTGAGACCAAAGGTGACTTTAAAAAGTCATGATGGGTACAAGTTCAGTTCGGCACGCTGTCGCGCGTCAGAACGTTGGCTTCAAGGAACAGGAGAATCTGCTGATCACATTTTTCGAAGCGCTTCACTGGATACGTTGCTGAGTTGGACAAGGTACCACAGATTCTTCGGTTTAGTGGGGCATACCATGTGATGC